GGTAATATTGATAAAGTGACTATGCATTTTTCATAATTAATCATGTCGCTGTCGCTCATTTATTGCATTGCATTGACACTTGCATTTTATTTCCTCCACTTTATCACTATGATTAGCAACGATTTGAGGGAGGATGACGAAACTGAATACTCATAACCGATGATCGTATGCTTTCAGATAAAACCTTGCCGACGACGTACAAGGCATTGTTTCAAATCCCCTAAACACTGGAGATATAAGGAGTTAGTCCCTTGTTAACCACTTCGAGCCAGGAAGTAGAAGTTTTTTCGGACTTTTAAACCCTCACATCTTAACCCGGGGCAGGATAGTTGTCAGTTAGCGTGATCGAGCGTTCAAGTCTTACAGAGGAGTGTTCCATTCGAGGACCAATCATAGTTTATGCCTCTTAAGAGGTCGTATCTCGTCAACCACAATGGTTAAACCTCACCGATCAGGAGTAAGACAGTTGCAATCCTTTCGGAGCAATCAAGACAATCAGTGTCACACGACTGTGTTCCAAAAAAAAAAAGGAATAAGAGAGCCCGCTAAGTAAAAAGAAAAAGAAAAAGCTGGAAAGCTAATACTTAGGCAAAAATTAGGGCATCCCGCTGGACTTCAAAAGAAAATCAAAAAGAACTTAAAAGGAGTCAGTCCAGGCAAAAATTAGGAACGAAAAAAGGGATATAAAAAGAAAAATACCCGAACAAGGACAAAGTCGTGTAGATACAGACACCGAAAAGGAGTAACTGTTACTCCGAAAACCTTGTGAGTTTTCCTTAACTATGGTTCTCACCACTCAACATACCTCTCGAAGAGGCGAGCGCTCGAGCCAAGTTAACTGAACATTAGGATCGGAGATCATCACGTAGAAGGGGTGGGTACAAAACGTAATTTGAGCCAAATATCCTTTGTTCCGTGAACCCAACCACGATACAACCCTTAAAAGACCTAATTGAGGCAGGGTTTATTCTGAAAGCGCATTATGATAAGGTTGAGTAACCTGACTCCTTCATGATTTGCTAATCATATCCTTGTTGTATTTTTTTTCACTGATCAAATCAGCATTGCGTTTGAACTATTGGTTCATTCATCACTCACAATCATGACATGTAAATGAGTGACAACACAACTTTTTTTCAAAAATTTGCATGAACACTGCATTAAAATTACCATTCGGGACTGAACAATTTTACTTGCAGGTTAGTAGTTGACAGGAAAGAAATTCCAACAAGGAATAATCGAACATGATTGAATAATTCAACAGTCTGGATCAGAATGGTGTATGTTGTGAAACCCTGTAAATCTGGGGCATTGATTTCCAGTGAGTTCGAAATCAATTAGTCTGAGGAAAAGTCCCGAAGCATCGGTTGATTATGGGGCAGCTTACTTGAGAAGCAGTTGATCAGAAGCGAATCTTCTCGAGAGCCAATCAGGGGCAGCTATCCAGAATGCTATGTTTAATCAGGGCAGGTTAAGTCGCTCAACGCTCGTTCAGGGGCAAGTCACGATGTTGATAGTTGTTGAATTGAGGGAAACACCGGGGTAAGCCACCGCAAGGTCATATTGTAGCAAGGTGCTTTCGGTTCAGAGTGGTTTTTTTTTCGAGAACCAGATTAAGGCAAAGTCATTGCATACAGGGGCATGTCTTTATTCGAGAGATGTTCGATTCGAAGCATCTCGCTGAAGTTCAGAATACTGGGGCAGTTCATATCAAACCATCAGGGTACAGATTTTCAGACTATCCCACAGAGGTTCCTGCAGGCCGGGGCATAACAGAGGCGAAACAACTGTTCTTCTACAACAAAGTTACTCAGAGCTACTGGAGCGGATTCAGCCAATATTCAAGTTTGAGACAAATGGCGAGAAATCTTGACCCTTCTACTAGAAGCCGTGAATTCAGACAGGATATTGTCCAGCATCAGGCGTGTATGACCCACCACGGATGTACAGAAGTCCAACCATACTTGGCATGTTCGTTTATCCCCAGTAAAGTCGTACATTCGAGAATCATTTCATCTGGAGCAATTAGGTCGAGATTTGGCAAATCTCTCGCGGCTATGGGCACTGCTCCGTGAATCATTCAATCAGGGGCAAAAGATTATCACAAGACCGGGGCAGAACACCCTAAAAACAAAAGATGTTGTTGGGACATTCTTTTGGGGTTTGACGTGCAGAAACAGTTCAGATCTAACCGTCAGGGTACAGAGATCGAAGAGTCCTTATCAGAAGGTTGGTGTCGATTCAGGGGCAAGGTATTGTGAGTAGCACTATGGCTAGCCTTTCTTTTCCAGACGAAATGCTCGGACTGGGGCATGTTGGTATTTATGGGGCAAATTTCCGAGAAGGAATAGAGTTCATGTTGCCCTAACCAGAGACTTTTGATGAAAGACTTGATCATTAGGCGAGGTGAATCCCTGCGCAGGTCGCACCTCATTCTCTGAAGTTGAGATAACAATGTTCCTTACCAAAGAAGAATCAAATTCCCCAGCTAGTCGCAGCTTATCCGAAGGACATTCTCCAGCAAGGTTGTTTACCCTCAGCAGAATTGACGATTCCAAGATCGAAGGCTGTATTCAGACAGTGTGGTGTCCCCCAGAAGGATTCCCTATCCCGAGTAGAGTTGTTTAGCCTCAGAAGACTAATATTTCCAAACTTGTGAGCTGTACCCAGACAGTCTACTCTCCCCAACAGAGATTCCCTTCCCAGTAGGGCCATTTATTCTCCCCAACGGAGTCAGTTTATTTTCCCCAAGAGAGTCGTTTCGTCCCCAGCAGAGTTCTCTCTTTTCAGCAAGTGTTCTCTTTCCTCCCAGTGGGAATCGAAGGTTAAAACTCTTCCCGACAGAGTTGGTTGTGTGTCCTGGCATTTATTTTGCCGGAATACTTTTTGATGCCCGTTCACTCCCCATCAGGGTGATATTTGTCCTCGACGGTCAAGATTGAGGAAGCAAGCTTGTTAGAGCTATCCCAGCAGTTCGAGCCTGCATTTGCATCGGCATATAGTGTCATATTTGCATCCACCAAATGAAAAAACGCGTAGCATTTCCATGTCGAATGAAGCATTACGCCATTGTCAAACATATGCATTTTGAAACATAAGCTAGGTTGGTTAACCTTTTGTTTCTAGTATTGTTTCCCTTGCAGGTGGAGGGAGCTCTTGCTCAAATTAATTACCAAACATTCAAGGTCTCGGCGTGAGACAAGTAATGATAATGTCAGTTTTGTCATTATTCCCCACAGAGTTGCTTGTTTAAGTTTCTCTTACCCCTCCAGCGGAGTATTTCTTCAAGGGTGTTGTTATGCCAGTATCAAAAGATTTCGTGAATCAATTTTCGGAAGTTGCCGCCTATGTCGAAGTAGGTGTCTGGCAGTGTGGATTCAGAAAATCTCCAGTAGAGTCCTTCTCAGATTTGCTGCCATGTCAGCACTGAAAATTGGAAGACTAGACTCATATTGTGTTACCCATGAGATGGATGGAGCTAGCTGCTGCAAAGATAGGCAGAGAAGCCGCATCAGAGTTATTTCCCGCAGTGGTGGCTGAGTTATTTCCCGTAGTGGTGGCGGAGTTATTTCCCGCAGTGGTGGCGGAGTTATTTCCCGCAGTGGTGGCAGAGTTATTTCCCGCAGTGGTGGCGGAGTTATTTCCCGTAGCGATGGCGGAGTTATTTCCCGCAGTGGTGGCGGAGTTATTTCCCGCAGTGGTGGTGGAGTTATTTCCCGTAGCGATGGCGGAGTTATTTCCCGCAGTGGTGGCGGAGTTATTTCCCGTAGTGGTGGCGGAGTTATTTCCCGTAGTGGTGGCGGAGTTATTTCCCGTAGTGATAGCAGTGTTATTTTCCCGTAGTGGTGGCGGAGTTATTTCCCGTAGTGGTGGCGGTGTTATCTTCCCGTAATGGTGGCAGAGTATTACCCGTAGCAATGACGGTGTTGTTTACCCGTAGCGATGGCGATGTTATTTTCCCAGATTATTTCCCGTAGTGGTGGCGGAGTGATTTCCCGTAGTGATGGCGGGGTTATTTTCCTGTATCATTGGCAGGGTCATGTTTTGTTGACAGAAGTACTTCCCCAGTGAAGTCGTCCAGGTTATTCATATATTGACAAGTTTGATATTGCACAGATGGTTAGTGTTGAAATCAGGTATAAGGTGGTTGATCAGTTGTTACCGTAACAATCAGGTTCAAGTGATGGATTTCGTTCCCCAAACAGTTGTGCAGTTTATTTCTGCGGTTGGCAAATTTCCGGGTTCTTAGTATTATTTAAAAAAATACAAATTAAATTTCGGTCTTCGTATGATTCATCGATGACATTGTGTGATTAGTTTCATTAGTAAGTTGTGGTGAATGAGAAGAATACTCAATGAATCTTAAAGACTCAATAAATCTTAAATTAATTATTAAAAAAAATTTTATCCTTCGATTCAATCATTATTTATATTATAAATTAATATATTTTATAGTTACTAATAATAATATTTTAATTATATTAATATTATAAATTAATATATTTTATAGTTACTAATAATAATGATATTAAAATCAAAAAGCAAATAAATTTTTAAAACTTTAAATATATGATTAAAAAAACAAGAAAAACGAAAAAAAATTGGACATTCGCTGATTCATGTGGCGACCACACATTGACTAATTTCCAAATAGCCTAATTCGCCATTCCATTTGGCGAATGCCTTGAAACAACATTTTAACTAATTCGCAAAACCATTTGGCGAATGCTTTCAAAGTTTATCATTTTAATAATTTTTTTAAAAGCTTGTTTTATTTGATAATTAAATTATATAACATTGCTACTTAAAAAAAAAATTCAAACCTAGCAGTGAATGAATAGTATTATCATATCACATGTAAAAAATTAGCAAATAAAAACTGGGCTGAACCGGTAATGGACAGGCCCATATTTACATGTATAAGAAACTATATCAATTAGGGTTTTTCTCTCTGAGGTTTTCGTCACCGCACGGAACGAGCTTTAGCACCAGCAGCAGCAATGGTGAGTAAACTCTACGAACTCAGATCCTTATCTCCATTTCTTCACTGTCTTCATTTATCTGATTTCAATAATACATAAACCAAGATTTCTGCAAATAACACTTATAATCATCGTGTTTGTTTTCTTAGGGTCCCAAAAAGGGTGTTAAAGCTCCAGTTGCAGCTTCCAAGAAGAAACCCGTAAGTAACTGGTTCAATATCAATGTTATTTACGATTCAATTTTTGTTTTGTTTTGAGAATAATTGTATTTGGTTTATGCATATGTCAGGAGAAAGTTACAAACCCGCTTTTCGAGAAACGCCCGAAGCAATTCGGAATTGGTGGGGCATTGCCTCCTAAGAGGGATTTGACTAGATTCGTGAAGTGGCCAAAGGAGGTTAATGTTCAGAGGAAGAAGAGAATTCTGAAGCAGAGGTTGAAGGTTCCCCCAGCTTTGAACCAGTTCACAAAAACTCTTGACAAAAATCTAGGTCAGAAATGAACTCTAATTATATGTCTGGAATTGGTTTTGTTGTGGCATTTGTGTGCTGTTTGATGCCATATTATATATTAATATATTATGTTCTTTGTGGTGATTGATATACAATTTTTTAGGCAATAATTGTAGTATGAATATCCTTCCCTTTTGGAAGGTTTTGTCAAGACATAGCTCTATAATAGTGATTTTTCAATTGAAAATTTAGATATACAAAGTTTCATTTGTTTTCTCTTTTTATCTTATACATTTTGTTTTTACTTTACTGTAGAATGTAGCTTATAACAAATAGATCTTTTATGTTTTTCTGTGGGTTTTGATGTTAATCAGTTACCAGCTTTGGTTATATTTGTATTCAGAAAGAGTTGCGTTTGAGTTGCATTCATGTTCTGTAGCATTCTGATTTTGTGCTGAATTATTTAGTTTGAATCATGATTCTGATTATCTTCCATGGTTGCACTTGCAGCAACAAGCTTGTTCAAGATTCTTTTGAAGTACAGGCCCGAGGACAAAGCAGAAAAGAAGGAGAGGCTTTTGAAAAGGGCCCAGGCAGAGTCTGAGGGTAAAACAGTTGAGACTAAGAAGCCTATCAATGTGAAGTATGGTCTCAATCATGTTACCTACCTCATTGAGCAGGTTGTCTTGTGTTTTTTGTTACTCAGTGATTGTGGTCTTTGTCTTGTATGTGTGTTTGTTTTTTTGACGATGAATGACTTGCTAATGTATGTTTCACTTACAGAATAAAGCCCAGCTTGTCGTGATTGCTCATGATGTTGACCCAATTGAATTGGTTGTCTGGCTTCCAGCACTGTGCCGGAAGATGGAAATTCCATACTGTATTGTCAAGGGCAAGGCTCGCCTTGGAACTGTAAGTTTGTTGTGATTTCAGCACTACTATATAACAGAGCAAGTTATGTTGACATTACTTTGTTAATTACTCATAACCCATCTACATTTTACAGGTTGTCCATAAGAAAACTGCAGCTGTTTTGTGCTTGACAACTGTTAAAAACGAAGATAAGATGGAGTTCAGCAGGGTCCTTGAAGCAATCAAGGTGGCATTGAATTTTATGACTCTTTCCCCTAGTGTTTATACTATTGCCAATAGAACTGATATTTGATTTTGGTTTTATTTTAGGCAAACTTCAATGACAAGTATGAAGAGTACAGGAAGAAGTGGGGTGGTGGAATCATGGGTTCCAAATCCCAAGCCAAAACCAAGGCGAAGGAAAGGCTTGTTGCCAAGGAAGCCGCCCAGAGGATGACTTAGAGTTTATATTCTGTTGCATGCTTCTCTATGTTTCATTTACCTAAATTGAAAATTTTCTTTAGTTTGTTTATCAGAGTTATCACCTCAGAAACCTTTGTTATTTACAATAGCCATATTAATTTGTTTCAGTTATCTGAGTTTTATTATAAACATGGATGCCTTTACTGGCATAATTTTTGTCATAGAAATTACTGTTCCATTTTTTTTTGTGCCTGTAAAATTATAATGGCCTAGTGGATTGGGAAATATTTCAAATTCCCGAACAAACATACTTGATTTTATTTGGTGACCGCAAATACCTTAAGTTTATACTTGCTTTTAGATAGAAATCACTATTTTGCTTTTCAAATTTTTTAGTTTTGGGATTGTGACTGGTATGTTTCCTTGTCCTTAATATTGACCCTTAGATAAGATATAACAAAAATAATTATAGTACTCGAGTAAATATGTAACGTAACATAATTATAGCACTCTTGAGTAAATATGTAACGTAACATAATTAAAAAACACATGTCGATATCATAGTATTTGGTGAGATGTCATACAAGATGATGGTGGAGCATTTTGTCAATGTTGAGTTTGAGATGAGCCTTGTGGGTGAAATGTTTTTTTTTAATCTTCCAGTAAAGCAAACGGAAGATAGTATTTGTATCTCAAAGCAAGTTTGCAAAGAATAAGTTTGATCTTGCAAGCCATAAAAGAACTTTAGTTTCTACTCATTTGAAGCTATTATATCAAACTCTCTACACTAGTATGATTGGAAGTTTGCTACACATAAAAGTTAGCAAATCTGACATCACAAAGAGGATCTTGAAGTACATTGACGAAATTTGTGAACATGACATTCCATACTTTTAAAATATAACTGTAATACTAATAGAATATTGTGATGCAGATTAGGCTGAGAGTGTTGATAATAGTAAGCGTTTATCAGGTGGGTGTTTCTTTAGAAACAATAGTAAATTGTAAGGAGATTGACGTTTTTGTTGATCAATACAAAAGGAGCAGTCCCTTCATCACCCTTATTTCTAAGCAGATTCTGCCAAGAGAAGAGAATCTGACTTGCTTACTTATGATGACAAGCACATTCTCTTCTTCATCTAAACAAGGGTTAAAGTTAATCTCTCTCTCTCTCTCTCTCTCTCTCTCTCTCTCTCTCTCTCTCTCTCTCTCTCTCTCTCTCTCTCTCTCTCTCTCTTCTCTCTCTAACTTCTTGAAGTCAAAGATCATTTCCTCTCACGAGGAAATGTCTTTCTTCATTCCGTATGGATGAGTTCTTTCAAAACTCTTTTTTCAAGAAGGAATTGCGAAGAAGGTGCAAGAAGTTAACTTATTTGAGGCTCTTAAAACCCATAAGTCTGATGCTTGATGTAGTTGAAAGCACTTTTGGTGGAGCATCTGCTCCATAGTCACCTTTTTCCTTTTTTGTATGCTGTATTGATCGGGAAAATAGCAAGTGTACTATTTTGTTAATGTAGTAATAATGGGGATTTTCCCGAATATCGATCTCGAGGACTGCATAGGAAATACAAGCTCTAAAACAATTCAGTTGAACAAAAGTACTTGTGGTTTTAAAATTGTTTTGTTTAATTATAAAAATATTTGGAAGTAAAAGAGAGAAAATAACGAAGTGGTTTAAACAGACATGAGTAACATGCTACGGGAAGTGTATGATCTGACTCAGTAACAACCCTGAATTAACACTGCAACAACTTATTCTAACTAACTAATTACCAATTATTTAGAATGTTTACTCCTATGTCATTAGTGAGAAATCCTTTAATCATTTAACCTAATTCCTATGTCCATAGAGAATTATAAATGAGATTAAGCAATCAATTATCAAGAATTATTTTGGTTCCTATAGGGTATCCATAGTCCTAGGTGATATCTACTACAGAATGATCAAAAGCAAAGCCTTAACAGTAGCGGTCAAACCTAATAGTTAATCGTAAATGAAACCCTGTTGGTTCGACAGGGAAAGCATAAAGAACAGCTAGAGATCAAATCAGTTATGAAAATAAAGGAAATGTCATTGCAATACTAATATTAGAGTCATTACAGATTCAAATCAGAGACACCCCCTAGCATTGAGGGGTTTAGTTACTCATATTATTTGGAAAAAATACAAAGTAAATATTAGACATTACAAGATAATAGGTTTCTTTGATCTTCAATGGCTTCTGCTCATGAAAACCTTCAGTTTTCCAATCACCTTGATCTCTCTAATCTTGATCGTGCAATTCTTCCCTGGCCAAAAAGTCATATTTTCCTTCTCAAAACTTGTCTTAAATACTCCCAAGTCCAACACAGTAATAGGAAAATATCCAAAATACCCTTAGGGATCACAAAGGCCCAATAAATAAGAAAATTGGAAGATGACTCGCTTCGGCCAACACGGACACCCGTGTTGGCCCCCTGGATATCTGATAAAACAAATGCTTGCTCCAGACTTGCTGACACGGGCTGTGTCAGGTGACACGGGCACCCGTGTCAGCCCACTGTCTCATACTCTATTTTCTTCCTCTTGGTACCCTTCTGACACGGGCGACCGTGTCAGACCACTGTTCCCTTTGAAAAACTATTCTGAATTCCTGTTGTTTTTCCCGGTTTTTACTCTGAATCTTCTTGATTGTGTACATGAACCTAAAAACAATGGAAACACCAAACTAACACATAAAATGGCATAAAATGCAACTAAATGTATAAGACAATTATCTAAAACTCGTGGTAAAATAACGTATAAAAATCTCTGATCAAACTCCTCCAAACTTAAACCGTTGCTTGACCTCAAGCAACAAGCTTGGATAAACATTTTTCAGATCAAACGGTACACATTAAACAAAAGACTTGTAACTGTAAGGTGTGTAGGTACTCATACGTGAGTCTTTGTTCCGATCGGCTAAAACTAATTCTCTTGGTAATCGTCTGTTACCAAAGGTATTACACAAACACATACTGCGGTAAAACCACAAACCTAAATCCCCCTTTTGGTCACCTCTATAACTATTCTTTGGGCTTAATTCTTTTCTTCGATTTTCTACCCATTTCATTCGGATAATTAGATTAAGGAACTTTTGATCGCTTTCCCTCACGTGTATAAGATTGGATCGAGACTTTTTTAAGGCACATTTATTCTTTTTTTTCTCTCTCGCGCATTGGCATTTATTAGTCCACTTTGGGACGACTACAGAGATTTAACCGCCGTTAGGCTAAATAACCGGGTGAGGGTTACCCAACTTAGAAGGATCAGTTGTCTTTACCGTCATTATTCATCTTTTTTTGTGTGTGCCATAATTCATTCTCTCAATCAACTATATACATGCGACTCTTTTTAATCGTGTTGGACCATCACTATGAACTGATCGGAGAATACTTCTCAAATCTAAATACTATGGCACAAATCTACACATTGGACTCGTTACTTTACTTCAGGGAATCTAGAGTGTTCATGTTATACCTCAATTTTCAAATCAAATTCCCTAGTTTCAACTCCTCTTCTCTCAAACTCTATATACTTTCCTAACTAGTTTACACATCACAGTATTCGCAAGGATTTTTAAACAAAAGGACCCAAACACAATTAAAAAGTACTTAAAACAAAAACTCAAAACAGTAAAAACTCACCCAAACTTGAACTAAACATTGTCCTTAATATTTTAGAACAGGAGTGGGAGAGATATACTCACAAAGATCCTTACTGAGGAGCTGGAGGGTAATGCAACATCTAACTTGCACTTATAAGGTCTCATTTATTACCTGCAACCGAAACAAAATATTAACAAAAATGCAAAATCATTAAAAACGTGGGTTGCCTCCCATGCAACGCTTCGTTTAACGTCGACTGACTCGATGGATCACTCCCCATTGTTATGGGGGGTATATCAGCTTCCACGTTTTGTTGCTTGACCTTTTCGCAACAAAGGACCGGTCAGGTTCAGAGGTAAGAGCAATGTTGTGTCTCAAATCACATCCAACTTTTCTTTTCTTGACTCCTCGAATGAATTTTGGAGTCTCGCTAGGTTCCTTTGACGCATGAGATATTTATTGCAACCTGATAAATTACACCAGAGACTTTTTCCATAAGTGGTTTTAAACTTTTACCTTTTTTCACTGTTTTGATCATTCCAACTGAAGGTTAAATATCTTCCTTTTTACCTCACTCCTTGATGTTCAACACTTTTAAAGTTATTTCTTCATCAAAAGATTTCAAGGGTAGAGTACCTGTTTCAATATCAACATTGCACCGACTAGTGATCAAGAATGGTCGGCCAAGTATGATGAAAGTCTCTTCATGTTTTGGAATATCCATAATCTCAAAATCGACTGGGAAAGTGAAGTTATCAATCGTCACCATTACCTCCTCTGCTAGCCCATATGACCTCTTAGTCGTGTGGTCGGCAAACTTCGAGTTTTTTCTCATATCGCTCACTTTTCCAATACCCATCTTTTTGAAAATAGATAAAGGCATGAGACTCACACTAGCACCTGAATCAATGAGGACCTTCTATAAAGTTCTATCTTTTATAGTGCAGGAAATTGCTACAGGTCCAGGATCTTTCCGCTTGATGGGGATTCTCCTTCCTTGTGATATTTCACTACACTGCTCGGTTGAAATTTTTTGTTCCTCACTCATTAGTCTTTTTTTTTCCATTATCTCTTTCACGAATTTCTTGTACAAGGGAATTTGCTCAAGTGCTTCAAAGAACGACATATTAATTTCTAATTTTTTGAATATCGTGCTGAATTTTTCAAAGTCTTTCTCCTTCTGATCCTTCTTTATAACTCTCTGTGGGCAAGGTAGCTTGATTTTTGGTTTAACCTTCTCTTTCTTTTTCTCTTCAGTTGGCTTCACAGGTGGTAATACTCTTTCCGTTTCTTTTCTGTTTTCTCTCACTTCAAACTCAACTTCTATACACTGATAATCATTTGTTTCTTTTTCTTCCACTTCTTCCACGACTCTCTGACTTCTTGTGGTGACAGCATTAACATTCTCATGA